ACTTCGCGAATGCATTCTCGATGTGGCTGTTTCAACAATGTATTGAGAGACACTCCCCTCGTTCTTCTCTCTGCTTCCAAGTGAATCTCTTCTTCGATATCCGTTATACCATTATCCCCTTCTCCGTCGTATGCCCCTCTAGATGTTTGACCTTCTTCACATTCCAGCACACATGCTTCCTCTTCATTATCCTCTCTTTCCTCATCTTCATTTTTTTTTATTTTTGAATTCATTGGCTAATTAATAATTATTAGCCATGACAGGAGGTAACGTACCGAACTGAATAGTGAGGGGTTGCTCAAAATCTTCCTCATCATTTTTCCCTCGCTCAAGTTTTGATCTCCTTGAAGAACTTTCTGGCAATTCTTCCATTGATTCATCTGTACCAGTCTTTTTACTATCCTCGAGAACATTTTGATTATCTACCTCGAACAGTTTAAGAGTTTTAGGACGTGGCAATCCTTGTTGTTGCCTCGTCATTAGTCCATAATTCCGTTGAAAACGCCTTTGTTAAGTTCTAGTCATCTCATTGAAGGGTATCACCCTTCGTGCATTATACTGAAATGAATGTCATACATTTGGTTGGTGAGGTTGCGGCCTGAATGTCCTCCCATTATTCATTGGCCTGAACTGCCTCTCAAAATGTGGTCATCTATAGAATGATGTACCTTACCCTCTAATAGGCTGAGCATTTGGGACAAAATCAGGGCGATGGTGATGTTGCCATATTCCTGATTTCTCTGTGTTTGCACTCACTTCTCCTTTACATCTTGCACACAGGATATTTCCGTCTTCTCTAGGCTTTTTCCCTTTATACGTTTAAAAACGCTGGGATGTAGCCCAGAATCTTCTTCTCCGTCGTCTATGACCAATTTGAATCTTGACAACTTATTTTTAAAACCAGTCGTCACCATGTTCACCCGAAGTGGTTGTGGGAATGAATTTTCATCCACTGCCATTTTCTTCTTATCTTCGAACGTGATTCGCCCTGACTCGATAGCATCATATAAGACATTTGCAATTGTTAGTCATATGTGACCATGCATTATCGCTTAATATTTTTTTACCCTTAATTTGCTCAGGGTCTGGAAATTTATGCTTATCACTCAATTTTATCTGTTTATCCTTATACAGTTTGTCAAATATAATGTCAGCTTTGGTCACGTCAAATGAAAACATTCTAACTTTTTTGTTTTCATCTTTCATATGTTCATTCTTGCCCGATGCTCTGAGTTTGGCCATTATAGGACATGTGTACGCATCTCTCGTAATTAATTCTGTCAAACATACTTCAATTTGATCGTAATATTCGTCATTAATAGTATGAACGTTAAAATTTGGGTATTTATAATAAATCCCTTTACTAGAATTTTTTATTTGTTCTTCTTCTCTTATTAATCGTTTATACCTAATACATTAACACTAAGTTGGAAAAGATCAGGAAATTTCCTGTCCTGAAATTTCTTTTTCAGATCGAAACTCAAACAGCCATAAGCGATTTTGACGAATTCTTTCTTAGGCAGAGGTACAAAACATTTTCTCCTGACAATTTTGAACCTTTGAAAGAAACCTCTGCCCATTCATTTTGCATTTGACGTAAATTCGTCAAATTGGTCAAGATGACTTCAGATTCAGTCTTATAAAATTGAGTATGGAACAATTGTCCAAATTGTTGCCATGTTTGAACATAGTTTGCTGGCAAATTAATGAACCAAGAGAAAGATACTCATGTTAATGAACTAGGGAACAACCTCATTTTATGATAGTCAGTCACTTCACCGCTTTGCAGTATGAATCGCCATATATGTTCTAGAGTAGACACTTGTCCTAAACCAATGAATAATGAAAATTCTGGCACTTTGTACCCTCTAGGCCACGGATATGCTTGATTTACCCAATCTGGATATGGCTTTGTGTAAGTCGGTCTATTGACATGACGTACCCCAAATGTCATTTGATCATGTACTATCTCCATAATTTGATTCCTCAACATGACGTTGGGATCATATGGAATTCCTACAGGTTGGTTTACTGGTTGATTTGTTTGAGGCCTAATATTTGATCCTTGGTTGGCAACAAAATTGTCATTATTTGGGCCATTATTACTGTTAGCCTGAGTATTTACTTCATCATTAACAAGCGGGACGTTCTGTCCATTATTCTGGACATTGTCTCTTATATTTGAATTACCCCCCAGGTTTGTAATCTCATTACTACCATTCAAGTTTGGCATTCCACTACCCTCCTAATTTGAAGTTGACGGACCGAATGGTGGTTCTAATCCTTGATTTGGGTTCAAACCAGGAGAATTATGTCCCAAAATCGTCCTGATTTGAAAGTGACTCCCAAGGGGTACAACTGATTGACATATTTGGTCCACTAATTTGTTCATGATTTATTTCAAAGTATTTAGTTGTTTGGCCATATTGTCATAATGTGCATTCCCATTTTGGATAAATCTGTCCATATTGTGAACATTTCGTAAATTTACCCGTTCAACAACATCCTGTGCGAGTTTCCCAAGCAATGCGCTCACATGGTTCGAGGACTCAACTCTGTCATTGGTTCATAGCGATTTTGACTGCTTTGACTCTGTCCCTCTATTCATTGAGAGCTTTTCCGCTCCTTATATCGCTCAATCACAGACTTGACAATTCCTTGGCTTGCTGGTTCTTTATCAGAATTCTTATGAGACATAATGCTTCACTTCTAGTATCTTCAAACACCAATGTCCCATCGGGCGTGCCAAATTATTTCACGTGGGTTGTAGGAACAAATCTCTTGAGACAAAATCCCAAAAATTGGTACTTTATTGATGAAGATTACAATTGAAAAAAACATAATGCCTCCAAGGAGCGCAAGCACACGAATATTAAGAAGATATATTTTAAAGTTAACTAAGAAATAAAATTATATATTCTCTGTTGAGAGTGTTTGATTCGGGGTCTTTTCTTCTATGTCTTCCTTTCCTTTTTATACTCATTTGATAGTTTGTGAAAAATTGTTTGGTGCTCTATAACTACTACTTTCTTCATGATGGCTGACTTGTCATGGAACTGCCGTCTCTAACTGTTGTCATTACTCTTGTCGTTTAACTGCCTGCAACCTGGATTCTTGGATCGTGGGGTGTGATGATGTTGCTCAATAACAACTTCAATAACTGCTGTACTGGATAACCATAATACCTTATATTCGCCCAAATCCAGGGCGACTCAAAGGTTTGGGCGAGAACATGATCATCGCTCTGGGAGTCAGTAAGGCACTCCATTCGCTCAGATCATGGGCGTCTTGCAAGCTTGGGCGATGGTGGTACTTTGTTCATGGGCCTCCACTGCATTCCATAATAATCCTATTTGGGCCTTCATAATTTCCTAATTGGGCTTTATTCCTTGGACTATTTAATTTGGGCTGCACTTTTTGTATGTCAACAGTATATGTATGTGGCATGTTGATTTAACAGCCAAAATGATGTTTTCCTATCAACTGTAGACTGTACACTTTCCATAGCTGAGGACCTGAATGTCACAAGTGGAAGGTTAGGAACACATCATCACAGTTAGCAAATGTTGGGGACCCCAGCTAGAAATTAGCTTATTTTCTTCTTCTTTGTTTTTTTTAATGAAACAAGGCAATGCTTTTGATCCTGCTGAAAAATGAATTTTTCAATTATTTTTCTAGATAAAGTTGTTTTAAGAACGGCCAAACAGCACATTCGGCTAAGCCTACAGATAATCAACATTCACTTAAAAAAAAAAAAAAATTAATGTACCAAGATTATTCTATATACTGTAAAGAATATTCATAATATAGTATGTCATTATTGAACTCTAACAATTATTTTGAACCAATTTCCGGACCTATTCTCACATTTTCGAGTCGAACTCACCAATTTGATCCAGTCTTCAAAAATATTGGACAAAACACAAGATACAAAATAGCATCTTAGTTTTGGGAGTGTGACCGAGGCCAATGTGTAAGTTAAAGGATTGATGTTCAATTTTTGTTGCTCGAGGAAGTATATATTTGTCCTTTTTGGAAAGATTAATCCCCAAAATGACCTCTTTAAACCTTTCAGCCGTCTTTGGCCCTTTGTGGAATCAGAAGCAGATAGACGAATACAAGTTTAAGAAGCTTGAGAATAACATATTTTCAACATTGTTTTCTTTTCATGTAATATATGTCAAATACGCTTTCAATACTCTCGTAGTGTTGGAATTTTTCAAATATATTTAAATGACCCACATTTGAAGGAAATGAAGAAAAAATCACTTTACATTCTTCTATTCATACACACCTTATATTATCGACCAATCGTATTAGACTTTGTGGGTTAACTAAATGCGGGTTGGGATACTTGGACGCATTGGGGTGCTTTAGAGGCTTACTCGACATCGTGTTGGGTTGGATCTTGAGCTCGTAGATCCACCCTACTCTAGCAATTTGCAAGAGATTAATTTGAAAGGGCCAATGGACATCCACCCATACCAAACAAGAACTGCAATTTTAAAAAATAACCTATTTGTCCTTCTTTAGTAACATGTATGCATAAACTTCAAATCCACTAGTATATAAACTGCCGCCTAAAGAGCATATAGAATATCACCACTTTGTACCAACCTAGCCAGATTGAGTAATGGAGTTGAGGATGAAAGGAAGCTCACGGTGAAACCTGCTATTGGTTTTGTTCGGGTTGAGTTCGATTTTGACTATTTTAAAGAAATAAGGTAGTTTTGGAAAATTTGTCCTAATGCAAATGACTGTACCAACAATTTGCCGGCCATGCGGCCATGCCTTCTTTAGGCATGTCCTGACCTTATATATATTGATTCATCAACCAGTTACCAGTACACAAAACTCCACATTTAACTTCAATGGAAGTTGTTACATTTTTTGCTCTTATTTTGCTCTTTATTTCCTTCCATTTGCTTTCCAATGTCAATGCATTTCCATCTAGTGAGTTAAAAACATATATTGTCCATGTGAAAAAACCAGAAGGTCACATGTTCGCCCTATCAGACGAAATGAAAAACTATCATAAGTCATTTCTTCCCAGTACCTTTGCCGACTCTGATCACGACCAGGAGCGATTACTTTACTCGTACCAAAACGTGATCAGTGGTTTCTCGGCAAGACTAACCGAAAAGGAAATCGAAGCCATGAAACAAAAGGATGGCTTCATTTCAGCACATCAAGAAAGGGTGTTGCATCCACTGACAACACATACTCCTAGTTTCCTAGGATTACACCAAGAAACGGGATTTTGGAAACAATCAAATTTTGGCAAGGGAGTTATTATAGGAGTGCTGGATACCGGAATTTTCCCGAGCCATCCTTCATTTAGCAGCGAAGGGATGCCGCCTCCACCGGCTAAATGGAAGGGGAAATGTGAGTTTAATGCATCAGAATGTAATAACAAACTAATTGGAGCGAGGTCTTTTAACGTTGCGGCTAATGCCTCGAAAATAAATGATGAGCCACCACTCGATGATGATGGTCATGGGACCCATACAGCTAGTACCGCTGCAGGTGGATTTGTCAGTGGGCGTTCTTGGCAATGCTTATGGCACTGCAGTTGGAATGGCACCTCAAGCTCACCTGGCAATATACAAGGTGAGCATGATTGGTACGCAGTACACAATAGGATTCAACAATATAATGAATAAGATTTTAATTATTTTTACTTCTTTAATGTCGTACATACCAGGTGTGTTTTGGCCCCGACTGCCCTGAAAGTGATATATTAGCTGGGTTTGATGCAGCTGTTGAAGATGGCGTTGATGTACTCTCCATCTCCATTGGTCAGGAGTCAGTTCCATTTTTCCAAGATAACGCGGCAGTAGCATCATTTGCAGCTATTCAGAAACGGATATTCGTAAGCTGTGCAGCAGGAAACTCCGGCCCTTTCACGGAAACTATGTCAAATGAGGCCCCATGGATTCTTACAGTTGGAGCGAGCAACATTGACAGAAGCATCAGAGCCACAGCAAAATTAGGAAATGGAGAAACTTTTGATGGTGAATCTGTTTTCCAGCCAAAGGAATTTCCTTCTACTCTGATGCCACTTGTTTACACCGGTTCCAATGGTAAGCAAGACTCTGCATTTTGTGCAAATGGATCCTTGGCAGGTATTGATGTCAAGGGAAAGATTGTAATGTGTGACAGGGGAGGAGGTATAGCAAGATTGGACAAAGGACGGGTAGTGAAAAATGCAGGTGGGGCTGGAATGATACTAGCAAATCTAGAATCTGATGGATTCAGCACTTCAGCTGATGCTCATGTCCTCCCTGCAACACATGTGAGTTATGCTGCTGGATTGAAGATCAAAGCCTATATAAATTCGACGAATTCTCCAATGGCCGGACTCTTATTCAAAGGGACCATAATCGGAGACCCTTTGGCTCCAGCAGTCGCCTCATTTTCCTCACGGGGCCCGAGTTTAGCGAGTCCCGGAATTCTAAAACCCGATATCATTGGACCGGGAGTAAACATCCTCGCAGCATGGCCTTTTGCTCTAGATAGTAATGCGAACACAAAATTGACCTTTAACATTGAATCAGGCACGTCAATGTCATGCCCTCACCTTAGTGGGATTGCGGCGTTGCTCAAAAGCTCACACCCCGACTGGTCTCCAGCTGCAATCAAATCTGCTATAATGACATCAGCTGATCTGATGAATCTTAAAGGTGCAGCAATAGTTGATGAAACTCTTCAACCAGCTGATGTTCTCTCAACTGGCGCTGGCCACGTGAATCCATCGAAGGCAAATTATCCCGGGCTCATTTATGACATTGAACCTGACGACTATATCCCATACTTATGCGGCTTAGGCTATACAGATGAACAAGTTGGGATAATTGCACATAGATCAGTCCATTGCACAGCAAAAATCCCTGAAGCACAGCTAAATTATCCAACATTTTCTGTTGCACTGGGACCATATCAAACTTTCACAAGGACAGTTACAAATGTTGGTGAGCCATATTCATCATATGCTGTCAAGGTTGTTGCACCACAAGGAGTGAGCATTACCGTAAAACCCAACCAGCTTTATTTTACAAAGGTGAACCAGAAACTGTCATATTCTGTGACATTCAGCAGCAGCAACAAGAAGATGAACAACACATTTGCTCAAGGGTATTTGGAATGGGCATCCAAAAAATATAATGTTAGGAGTGTAATATCTATTAAATTTGTCTAAGTTATGGGTGTGGATCAGGGCGCAATTATTGACTTAAATGGGTAATTGTAATTGTGCAATCATATAATTTTCAAGAATTTTTGAGCATGTTACGAAAATTATCAACATTTCTGCTTTGTTTTTATAATAGGAGAACCAAAAAGGTAATCAATCAACAGAATAAAGGTTATTTAAGCCAAATATTTAACAGATTCTACTGCCAGTTGGCTCATGCCAATTACAGAACTTGAATGACAGTAAACTATTGTACCTGTGACCAACATGATAAGATCTATTTATATACGGAAAAAGGTTATTCTTCTGCTATACACGATTTTATTAATGAATCAACAGGATTGCATTGAACCGTATATTTCACTAAAATTTCCCAACTAGATTAGCATCTAGGCATATAAGAAATGATTTACAGTTAGTTGAGGATCAAAACCCTGTATCCATTCTAACGAGCATGATGATTTCAGAAACTTTTTTATGTACTTGGTCAATATCCAGTGTTTATCCGCCAAATGGCAGAAAATCGAAGTTTGATAGCTGTCTTGACCATCATTTGACAACATTTCTTCATTTGACTCGACGAATTCTCATAATCCTGTAGCAATTTGATGTCAGATATTAGTTAATGGAAGTGTGTGTTTGGCTAAGCATAAAAATTAGTTGAATTTTATAACTATCTGTTCCCAAACATGTAGTTATGTTGCCATTTTCTTACCTTAGTGTTACTATAGCTTATTTTCAACTATGACCAACAAAAAGATTATTCATCATAAAACATACTTAGAAGTAAAAAATTTAAGCTTAGACAACATACTCTACGATATAGGGGGATAACTCTAGTTACCTGCTAATTCCACAGAGTGGATCGATGTCGCTTTTTCCCCATCAGTGCCATGCTGAATCTGCCTCCCTCCAAGACAGAACTTATTTTTTATCACTGCTTGTTTTGTCTATTAAAAAGATAGAAAAAAGTCAGGTAAGACGGCATAAATATAAGTAACAGACTGGCCACTTTTAAAGCGTGTTTGGTGGTTGTTTATAAATCGTTTAAATTATAAATTAGAAAGAAATGAGTGGTGGTTAGGGGTAGTACTTGTGGGTCACACGAAATATGTGAATAAAAAGTGATTTGACTGATTATAAACAATTTATAAACAATAGCCAAACAAGGGCTGTCTAGAGGAAGGATACGCAAGAAAGCAGACAAAGATTAATCATGACTGTTTAAATAAAAAAACGCAGAGCCATCCCTTACCTTTTCTTCTTGCTGAATGGAACCCCATCTATTCTCTTTTGAGTCCTCATAACAAAAACAATTTCTTCAATTACTAAACGTGAATTAACACGAATTACCCCAAAGAGCACATTAATAACATGGATTGTATTTGTAAAATGATGAGGAATTAATAAATTAAAAAACAGGAGAATGTATGGAACCTTTGCCGATTTGTAGGTGGGCCGAGGAAATGTTGACACAGAACCAGTAATTGACGAGGTTTCAGATGCCAGAGAAAGCTAGTTTAAAACAAGAAGCCAAATGTGTCACAAAAAGCAGGATCATCTACGATTTAGTAGGTTAACGGTAATGTTAGGATAATTAAAAAATAAAGTAACAATAATATTAAGTAGCTTTTTGCTTCCAAACATGGTTGTATACATTATTTTCCTTAGATACGAGAATTACAATTACTTGTTTGGAAAGTAACTCATACGTTAATGTCAAAATAAGTAATGTGCAACTTTTGCCAATAAACCAAATGTCATAAAGTTCACTCATTTGCTTATAAGTGAACTTGTTAAGCTTAGCCCAACATGCACTAAGTATTTAGAAGCAAACTAAAGATCAATAATGAAGAATGAATAAGAGCTCGTTTGGAGTCTGTTAGTCAAAAATTACAAAAATCAAGCAGTTAATAATTGGTTCCTCAAAACAGCTAGGTGTACAAGAATCCAAAAGAGCATCATAAATTCATAATTATCTAGAAAGTAAATACTTATTATGCACCTTGTTGAAAAGTTCAACAGGAGGATTATGATGAAACCTCTTCTCTGTTTGGAAATTAAATTCCTGTGGCATAGGCAAAGCATTACAAGTTATTGTAATCCTAGAATTATCAATTGTAGTAAATAACTACCATAAAAGAGTTAAAATTTAATGTGCTAACTACCATTGGGACTGTAGTTTCCTTCTTACTGTTTATAGAAACTCCAATATCAACCCTACTCGACAATATCTGCATGATACAGAAGATTGATTTACTTTCTAGAAGATACAGCAGGTTTGGCTAAGCTAAGCTTAATAAAATGTAATGTTAACTTTTTGTTCCAAACATTTTGGACATGTTACTTTTTCTTTTCAGCCACAAAAAGTTACTTGAAAAATAACTCATATCTTAGTGTCAAAATAACTTATCTGATTCCAACTTTGACCAATAAATAAAATTTCCTTATTTAAAGATTTATTTACTTAGCTTAGCTACTCGCACTCTTAATAAAATTTCCAAGTGGTACCAAATAGTCTACCTTCTTGTTAAGGGGAAGAGCTTTGAAGCAGTAAGATGGCTCAAACCCTTCCTGCCTTGAAGCGCTCGAAACATTGAGTCTGACAAAGAAAGAACGCAATTCAAATAAGCACGTCCATATCAATTGGAAACAAGGGTCCAATTTTAGTTATGAACTCTGTTTGTATGACCATTTACAACTTTGAGTGGAGCAGATATGAATGCGACCACTTACAACTTTGAGTTGTGCGGCTATGCATACCAGTTTTCTTAGCTTAAGCACATGATAGCAGAAAACAAGGGAAGGTCTTTGCGCTTCTCTGTTTGTTCCAATTAAGAAAAAAATAGGATTTGCAGAATAAAAAAAGAATAATCTACTTCAACCAATATGCCTCAGGCAAAACCATCTTTTAGATGGATTTCCATGTTTAAAAAAAGTACATTGCTTGGTGTGGCGATCTTGCTTTGGTGAAAAACATATCAAAACAAAAAGAGAAAATATCAAGTATCAGTATTGAATCAAATTAATAACAATAACCAGAAGAGGTTCGATCAGCAAGCAAAACCAGAAAAAGAAAACAAAGGTTCAAGGTTTCAACAAGCACTGGTCAAATACATTCATGAACCGAAAGAAGTAAATTGGCTAACAAAATATAGATAGAAAGCATATAAAAGGGGTAAAACAGTGTGTCCCACCAGTCAATAAACAAAGCATCACGATATATATCTGAAAGCATCTCGATGTATTACCTTCTGAGATCTCTGTTTCCAAATTTTGTGGTTGAAGTAGTACTAGATTTCTGCAAGCCCTGCAACTAAATAACAAGATGAATCATTCCTCAATTAAAAGGCAAAATATTACAAATAATATCAACAGCCAGTGAAGTTTGAGCATCGTTTTAGATGTAGAGCCAGGCCCATGCCAAGTACTGCCAAATCCAGAATTAAAAGAAAGAAGTAAAAGGACTTGGACCCCTACCTGAACCTTCCCCTTTAGGAAATAGACTGTGCCCTATAAAGTTGCTAATTTTGGGAACATCCAGTTCCAAAGTCAATATTATACCGTAGACATTATAACAATCTGATGAAAATGGCTAAAGTTCCATACCGGTTGAAGATGTTCATTGCATTTCAAATATCTGCTAAATACCTTATCAGAATGATGGAAAGGGACAGTGGACGTTGGATCTGCTGAGGTGTGTTGCATAGCCCTCTCTGATGTCTTCAAGTGGAATTCCTGAAACCAAAGTCCAAATTCCACAAAGAAAACTCAGCCGTCCAAGATATTTCAATGGAAAGTTTCCCTTCTTGTGGAATACTCAGCCGTCCAAGCTATTTCAATTGAAAGGTTCCCTTGAGAAGCAATTTACAGGATCAAAACCTAATTTTATGATTACTTACTTGAAACTCCGGTAAATGACGGGTGCTTCTTTTCGGAAGTACCAATGAAGGTGCTTCAAGAATCTGTAAGACACAGAAATAGATCAGCATGTCATACTTTCATTTATGGGCAGACACTAGACAGCATCTTTTCATCGGAAACGTCATACTAACTTTTCTATTTAGTGGAAGAGCTATGAATCTACGAACAGTTGATATCACATTTTCAGGTTCTTTCCTAGGTTTTGGCCTGAAAACAAACCCCATCAAGTAGGCAATCAGGTCCCATTGAGAGTGAAATCTGCTTCTATAACAAGTAACAACAACAACAACAACAGAGGAGCAGCTGGAGTGTCATCAAACCAACCTTGTCCTTTGTGCCCTATTTGCTGTTTCAAGATCGGGCTCTCTAGGGATAGTGAGCCTCAGCTTTGTCTGTGCTGCATTTCCTATGGTTCCATCCTGTAAAATCATTTAAAAGAACTTAGATCGTCTGTACTACTCCTTGTGCAAAAAAAAAAAAAAAGACGACACTGACTACTTTCCTGCTGGTACCTGTTAACATTATTAGTGAATGAAATAAATTAAATGAAAAGTTTGATGTACATCTTCACACTTCCTATTAATAGTTTTCCCAATTTACAAATTTTGTTAACAAAAATTCCCACGTAATCTCACGAATAGTGCTGAATGCCCTTATAATAACTTCCCTATGTTACTAACACAGATTCACACATTCTAAAGTTGATAAGCTAGTGAACGTACCTGTTTATGTGCCTTATGAACAAAACTATTTTGTTGATCTGCAACCACAACCTGTAATGTAAATTGCTTCTGAGCAACATCTAATATAAGAAAGGGACTAAATGTAATAGTCTAGGCTATATATCCCACTGAGAAGCATGTCAATAACAGAAAATGCCAAATGAAGCATCTTTTACTGAAATTAGAAAAACAAGACAGTGACTCCAGTTTCAAAGTATCCAAGGCTTAAAGAATTAAAGAAAAGGGGCAAACCAGAGGATGAGAGGAACGAGCTGTAATTAACAACAAATGACGAAAACATAACACACATACCTTCCTCAGGTGACCACCCTCAAGTTTTTGTCTTTTTGCAGCTTGACT